AAAAAAAAAAAAAAAAAAAAAAAAAAAAAAAAAAAAAAAAAAAAAAAAAAAAAAAAAAAAAACCGACAACGAGTGTTTCATGCATGCCGGGAGAAGATTGAGATTCTCGCTTTGCGCTACGCTTTTGACTATTTACAACTATTTGTCGAAAGGGAAAAAGGTAGATATGGTAACACGGGAGAGAGATCTTGGAGAGGAATTTGCATTGCAACTTATAGCGTGGGCAATCGAGACTAAACTAAGTTAGAGCAAAACAGAGCTTAAACAGCACGCTTCCTCACGTATTACGTGGGGGCACTGGGAACATGAGGCACGCTAGCTTGTCAGAGCCAGCAGGAATAACATGATTCTTCCCCAGGATGCCTAGCACTTTTCAAAAAGAAAATAACTCTAATATTTCTGTGACCAAAATGAAAAAATTACCCTGATTGTCGGAAANGGGGAAAATATCCCCGATTTATTCCTGATTTTCGGGGGGGGGGAGATGAAAATTCCGGACTTTTCCAAACACGAAAGTTGATGGTTCTTCAAAGAATTTTAAGGTCAAAGAATTATTCGTGAATTCCTTTTTCCAAGTTTTCCCTGATTGCAAAAAAAATTCCTAGCTCTCAACAATGCCAGTTTGGCATGGTGGTTAGAAAGCACGATACACATGTTTACCCTATCCTTACAAATTCTGAAAACAAGATGGGGTGGTTTTGGAAAGGATATACTTAAGGCTATGATTTCAGTCGGTACGGTTGTAAATGAGGGAGAAATTGCGGCAATCACAGCCAAACTAGGATTTCTTCAGCCCAACAAATTTTTTTGTGAAATAACAATTAGTAGCGGAAACAGAACCCTTCAAACCGCAAAACCGCTCAAGTAACCAAAGTTCTCGGTTAAAAATACATGTCTCTATGTGGCTACCGAAAACTCGAGTTATTGGAACTGAAGTTCGGTTTCTATAACCAAGGGGTTCGAGTGTCTGCTTCTAGAGTTTGGCTTCACCATATGATCTTCTTTTCGGGTTGAATACGGGAAAATGTTCAAATTTTTTTCACTATGAAATTACCTCGACAAGGAATTGCAGAGATTGACACACTCAACTTTTCCAACGGACTGACCTAACCTAGGTCTATCGACCTCGAGTCCACACCGTACCACCGACCAGTCAAAAGCGCTGAGGCGGACTTACGTGCGGTCGAGACTCGGTCTAAGTATATTTAAGTACGGTAGAAAGGACCGACAAAATTCGGCCCCTGCGATTCGAACTTGGGACAAATCCCATAAGATGGGGTGTCCCGTGGAGACAAGGCCTCTTCTCATGAGCAAAACTTTTTCCATATATCGATGTTGGCTGACTCCCACTGTATATTCAGCTTCGGAGCTCAACTCAGGGTGGCAAAATTTCATGAAAAATAAATTCTTAAAATTTCACGCGAAATATTTCGCAAAACTTCAGAAATTTATGAAATATATTGAAAAATACCGGTTCCTTCTCATATTTCGCAAAATGTAAAAATTATACTTTAGCCCCTAGAGTTTGTGAAATATTTCAAAGCCTCGTGGAATTTCATGAAATATCTCACTGAAATTTCCAATCTTTCATTTCTTTCTTAGGTTTCATGCCGCCTTGGCTCAACACGTTGCGGCAACGATGGACAGGAGCAGCGTGACGCGGGTGGGCGGCGCGGCGGACAGCGGAGGAGCGATCGAAATCCGATTAAGAGGATTTTGATTAATTATGTTCTTCTGCTTCCTTGTCCATTCCCCGTTTCCCATTCTCGGCGTATCGTATCGACTTGCATTAATTAAACGGGCATTAAAATGAGCAACATCTCGACTCGCCAGCGCGAGACTGACGGGCGGCCGCTCGACTAATACCCGGCCGGCCCCCAGGGACAGACCCGATCCTCGGCTCAGCGCCGTGTCCTGTTCTGTCGAGACAAGACGCAGGGTCCTCCCGGTGCTCGCCCTCCTCTCGCGAGAACATGAGTGTTGGAGAGGGGAAGTAAAATTTCAAAACGGCCGAAGCACTTTCATACAATTTAAAATTTGATGGTATTTTTCAGGATGAGTCAATGGAGATGTTGCATGTGTGAGGATTTTGCGATTTAACTGTTGATTCTTATGTAAAAGTTCACGAGAAACACGATGGTGCCACTGGTTTTCTCTGAAATCAACTCCCAAGCTCAAAAAAAGCTCTCAAGTTGAGGCCAAAATGGAGGGGATATCCCACGCTATCCTGAGAGTCCACCTCTACATCAAGACAAACCCTCCATGCAAAGATAGGGAGCAAATACATTGACAGGGCTGCCACTTTATTTGAGGACTCCAAAACTGAAAACACGGCAACCCTGCTAATGTATTTGCTTCCTATCTTTGCATGGAGAGTTNTTTCTTCTAATAGTGTGTTTGAATGCGGGTTGCATACTCTAGCCCCTAGAGTTTGTGAAATATTTCAAAGCCTCGTGAAATTTCATGAAATATTTCACTGAAATTTCCAATCTTTCATTTCTTTCTTAGATTTCATGCCGCCGTGGCTCAACTCGTTGCGGCAACGGTGGACAGGAGCAGCGTGACGCGGGTGGGCGGCGCGGCGGACAGCGGAGGAGCGATCGAAATCCGATTAAGAGGATTTTGATTAATTATGTTCTTCTGCTTCCTTGTCCATTCTTCGTTTCCCATTCTCGGCGTATCGTATCGACTTGCATTAATTAAACGGGCATTAAAATGAGCAACATCTCGACTCGCCAGCGCGAGACTGACGGGCGGCCGCTCGACTAATACCCGACTGGCCCCCAGGGACAGACCCGATCCTCGGCTCAGCGCCGTGTCCTGTCTCCTGTCCTGTCGAGACAAGACGCAGGGTCCTCCCGGAGCTCGCCCTCCTCCCACGAGAACATGAGTGTTGGAGATGGGAAGTAAAATTTCAAAACGGCCGAGGCACTTTCATACAATTTAAAATTTGATGGTATTTTTCAGGATGGGTCAATGGAGATGTTGCATGTGTGGGGAATTTGCGATTTGCCTGTTGATTCTTATGTAAAAATTCGCGAGAAACACGATGGTGCCACTGGTTTTCTCTGAAATCAACTCCCAAGCTCAAAAAAAGCTCTCAAGTTGAGGCCAAAGCGGAGGGGATATCCCACCCTACCCTGAGAGTCCACCTCTACATCAAGACAAACCCTCCATGCAAGGATAGGGAGCAAATACATTGACAGGGCTGCCACTTTATTTGAGGACTCCAAAACTGAAAACACGGCAACCCTGCTAATGTATTTGCTTCCTATCTTTGCATGGAGAGTTTGTCTTGATGTAGAGGTGGACTCTCAGGATAGCGTGGGATATCCCCTCCATTTTGGCCTCAACTTGAGAGCTTTTTTTGAGCTTGGGAGTTGATTTCAGAGAAGACCAGTGGCACTATCGTGTTTCTCGCGAACTTTTACGTAAGAATCTAAAGTCAAATCGCAAATTCCTCACACATGCATCATCTCCATTGACTTGTTGCAAACTTCAGCTAACGCTAAAAGAAGAATTATTTCGCGACCGAGTTAATCGGAAAGGAACCAACCCAAATTTTCGAAAAAATTGAGTTGAGAATATTTTTGAGTTCCTCTAGTCGTATATTTTCTCCAGCTACTCAAAGTCGTAATAGAAAATTAGTTTGTGAGAAGAGGGTTTAAAGTTTATTTTCATGGAGTCTTATGGAGGAATAAAACTTCAAACTTCTTTTTCTCAGTTTCAACCTGATAAAGGTTGGTGGTTCCTTTCTGATTAACTCGGTCCACTCATTATGACAATGACTCAAAACTCACGATGGGTGTACTGGGTAAGTTTGAAATACAGACCCGACGCACGGTTGCTATTTTCATGCGTGCAAATGGCAACCGCCAGGGTTCACTAGGGTGTAGTTTATGAACTAATTTTGCCCTCTGTTTAATTTGCACACCCCTCCGACTTTATTTTTTGGGAGCGAAAAATTACTGAAAAAAAGAAAAAATTCGTTTTTTTTGCGGGGATAAATGGCAACTGGGCGTCGGGTTAATTTTGTCCGATTGACCCCAAATTTCATTTTCCGTGTTTTTGAACATGCTGTAACCGATTTAGGGGGTTATGACTATAAATTTCCGTAATTCATTTTTTGTGGGCCACCCTACTGGCCACGTCCTAGCAGCCAGGAGGTGTACCCCTAATTTTGAACACCGAATTACCTGAATTTGGAGGGAGCTTTGAGTTGTCTCTCCGGTGCGGCTTGCGGTAACAGGGCGGGGGACGAGGCGAGTTTCCTCGGGATGAAAGACGAGGGTTCGGCGGGGTCCCCGTTGGGTCGGCGCTGCTGGAGGAAGCTGCTGCCATGCTCCAGGGTCTTCCTCAACGGGACCTGCTGCTGCTGCGAGTTGCCGTTCGTGTTCGCGTTCGGCGAGGACCGGTTCTGCCATCTCCTCGGTTTCGCCTCTTGACTTCTCGCCGGAGCCGGGACGTTCTCCGGGTCCGACGCCCGGAGTTGACGGGGCATCGGCGACGGCGACGAATTGCCGCTCCGCGGGGATGCCCACTCGCCCCCGCCCTTCTCGTCCCTTCGCAGACCCTTCCGTTCATCTGAAACATTGAAAATATTATCGTGAGTACTTCAAATTGCGAGGGTTCACTGGAAAAAAACACATTGGATCTAGAGTCCAGACTCTTAAAAACATCGACAAGAAAAAGTACTCTTGATTCAATCAGAATCTGAAACATTGAAAATATTATCGTGAGTACTTCAATTACGAGGGTTCACTGGAAAAGAAAACACATTGGATCAAGAGTCCTGACTCTTAAAAACATCGACAAGAAAAAGTACTCTTGATTCAATCAGAATCTAGCTTAAATCAAGAGCCAAGCCTCTTAATTTAAGCGGATTCCGTTTCGGTTCAAGCAAAAATCCGATTGAATCGAGAGGATTTTTTCTTGTCAATGTTTTCAAGAGTCTGGACTCTAGATCCAATGTGTTTTATTTTCAGTGTTTACCCGTGCAAGGGCGTATTGTGAAATACGCGTTTGTTTTCAGGGTTGCCACAGAATTTAAAAAATTAAATTCCCTGAAATTTCCCTGATACATTTTAGTGACCTTCCCTGGCAATTGAACAAATGAGAGATTGTTTAAAAAAAATATAGTTGGAAATGGTTTCCAGGCAAATTTTTTTGTTCGAAACGTCAAAGCCACCCGAAAAAGCATATAAAGGTGACTTGACGATTTTTCCCTGACATTTCCGTCACTATCCCTGACTTTTTAAATTCCCCGACATTTCCCGGTTTTCCGGTATTCCCTGGCAATGGCAACCCTGTGTTTTGGAAATAATATATGCAGCGTATGTCGCAGGTAATTAAAAATCGCCGGCAATTTGCAAATCACGATTGACATATGGACCACATTTACCAATTAGGAACTACAATTTCGCGTGGAAAAACGATGACATTTCACGCGAAATTTCACTGTTTTCTTGCATGGCCAACGTCTGGGACCTTCTACTCGCGAAATTTTACTTCGAAGTCGTGCACTCCAGCAAAATGAAATCACGCATGATGATTTTTACTTGTGATTTTTGCTTCATGAGATTCATCTATATGACCCGGAGAATAGATTAATAGAGTTGCGCGTTAAATTTGCATGAATTAACGTTGGAATTTAGTTTCACAGCTCATTGAGAAATGAATGTACATTATGACTGATACCGATTTCAGGCTCTGCCCTGAAGGTTTCATTTCATCAATTTGGTTCAAATCGGGTCGCTTTATTGATTCTGCGCCCTCACTCAAAGCGCTATGCAATCAAGGAGATATTCAATTATTACGTAACACGCTTTTCTCGCTTCCCCTTGAAACGCACCGGTAAAGCAAATGAATGAAGGATCCACACCTTCATGCAAAATGAGCCGCTGAACAGTATCTCTCCTGATCATCATCAATTCTTTTGCTAATGATGGCAAAAAAGTATGTTCCTCTCGAAAAAATTACGTAATTTTTAAAATTTGGATGGTAACGTAACGTCGTTCCCCTCGCAAATGAAAGTCTTGCCACAAAAACTCGCATAAAAGTCACAAAGAAGGGATCACGATTCAAGTGATTCGATCGGCCGAACATTCGTTCTTCCGCCCATAGGACTTAGGAGCCTCCAGAATCACTTAGGAACCTCCAGAATCACGAAATGCACATCATCCGCACAAAAATTCTCTGAAAAGTCACAAGTGATGGATCACGATTCACTTGATTCGATCGGCCAAACGGCTTTTTTTGCGCCTTTAGCAGCTTCTAGAATCACGTAGTGCATATCATCCGCACAAAAACTCGCTTAAAAGTCACAAGTGAAGGATCGCGAGTTTCCTGATTCGATCGGCCGAACGGTTGATTTTGCGCCCTTAGGAGCCTCAAGAATCACGGAGTGCACATCATTTGATAGGGAAATTGAGATAAGGGATTTGTAAGCGTACATTTGACTGGTGAAACTACCATGCCATGTATCTCGGAAAATGCAGTTTTTCAGAGGAGCAAAAAGACTGTCTCCGTTCCTCATTTATGTGATAATTAAAAGGTAATAATTCTTACATAAAGGTACGAGGGTCATCCAAAAAGTAAGTTCACCCCTTTCATATCTCCGAAACTAAAAGAGATAAATCAAATCGGTAAAAAAGAACTTCTTACTTATATCCTCAGCTCTCCGTAGGTACCAAGATTTTTAAATTTGGACCACTGGTTGTCGAGATATTCGATTTTTACGTGAACAACTCCCGGCCAGTTCCGTCCACCAAACGACGCGCTGATATGAGATGCACCGCGCGCTGTCGCGTCGCTTTTGTCTTCTGGAACTCTCAAGGAGTACTTCTCGTCCATTATTTGGAGAAAGGGTGTACAATCAATGCATTACGGTATTGTGGAATATTGAATTCTTTGCGATTGGCAATAAAAAACAAGCGACCGGGTCTCTCGTCTCGTGGTCCCCTATTCCTTCACGATAATGCCACACCTCACACGGCGAAAGAGACCCAAAATGTGTTGGATTTTGCGTGGGAGGTGTCACCTCATCCTCCATACTCTCCAGACCTTGCTCCGAGTGACTATCATCTTTTTCTGCAACTCAAAAAGCACCTAGGTGGCCAGCAGCAGAATGATCAGTAGGTGATGGAAGCAATCAATCGCTGGTTCAAGAGTCAACCATCAAAAGTGTTCTTTGAGAACGGCATTAAGAAGCTTCAGAAACGCTATGAAAAATGCATCATTAGGAACGCACGGTGCCCCTGAACTCACTTTAAATGCGACTTTAATGTACATCAAAAATTCAAGTTGGAGGTTGTAGTGGGGTACTTCCTGATGGGTTTTTGGGCAATTTCGAAATAGGTTGTCGGAGCTCCTCGAAAAATAATCGCATTTTTGTGGTTTTTTAGGGGTAAAATAGCAAAATTGGCCTCGGGGCGACAAATGAAACCCCCTCTCCCTCATCCTTGCCTTGACCGATCTGAATTTTTAGTATGTTTTTACCTGGTATAAGATGGGACTTCTCTGAAATTTTCATGCCCATACAAATTTGTTTGCTCCCGCGGCAGCGTTGCCAAGTTGCGGACTCCAAAATATCGAATTAAATGATAAAATGAAGTTTTCGGAGTGTGATTTCCATTCAAAATCAAAAATTCAAATTGTAAGTTGTAGTAGGGTACTGCCTGATGGGGTTTTTGCCAATTTCGAAGTAGAGTGTTTGAGATTTTTGAAAAATAATCGAATTTTTGCGGTTTTTTAAGGGTAAGATAGCACACTGCGCACGGGGCGGCAAGTTAAACCTTTTCTCTCTCATCCTTGCCGTGACCGATCTGAACTTTTAGTATGTATTAACCTGGTATAAGATGTGACTTTTCTGAAATTTTCATGCCCATACAAAATTGTTTGCCCCCCGCGGCAGCGTTGCCAAGTTGCGGACTCAAAAATATCGAATTTGATGATAAAATGAAGGTTTCGAGGTGTGATTTCCTCCAAAATTTCACGAAAAATGTGCAATCTGAGAGTTTTCGATAAGAAAAGGCATATTTGGACAATTTAGAGTTGCAGTGTTGCCAGCTTTCGATTTAAAATTCGTCAAAATGACGCAAATCGCGTTGCAACCTCAAGCGCTGGATTTTTATTTCGTTCAGAATTGGTTATTACGGTTCTTCTGTACTCTATGCATTTAGATACCATGAAAATTATGCCATTACTCACTTGATGGGTGCAGCTAACTCAAAAAGAGAGGCCGGATAAAGCGATGAGTCGGGGTAAAACGAGCGGTTCGGGTTGACAGAAAGTTCTTAAATCTACTCCATCACCAGAAAGTAGAATTTTAGAACTTTCTCCCACCCCCTGAACCTTATCCCTGTTGCAGTCAATCCTTTGAACATCTTATCTGAAATTTTGCCCCCGAATTTTTCCCAAAAACATGAAAAATAAAAACACAAATAAAATGGGTGGATAACAACGATTCAAATAACGCTATGAAGTCCCTGAATTCGACCTCTTCTCATACATCGGATTGGATAGTTCGAATCCGGAAGACTTCTTCCTGTAAAGAAAATACCTTCGACAATTTAAAGGATAAGAAAAATACAAAAGATCACAATAAATTTGAGTAATGTTGAAAATAAACTCCCTCATAAAAAAAAATAAACTAGGTGACGAAATTATGACTTTTTATGATCGGAACAAACCTGATGGAGTCCATCTAAATTCAAGAGGCCTCTTGATCATCTGGAATCTCATGCAACAGAGTTTGCCATGAATGGTATGTTTCCTTATTTAGTCCAGAAATATTTTATTTTTCGGAATGTCAAACATGTCTTATACAACCAATAATTTTACAAAGCATTTTAAAATTCGGGGGCAAAATTTCAGATAAGATGTTCAAAGGATTGACTGCAACAGGGATAAGGTTCGGGGGGTGGGAGAAAGTTCTCAAATTCTACTTTCTGGTGATGGAGTAGATTTAAGAACTTTCTGTCAACCCGAACCGCTCGTTTTACCCCGACTCATCGCTTTATCCGGCCTCTCTTTTTGAGTTAGCTGCACCCATCAAGTGAGTAATGGCATAATTTTCATGGTATCTAAATGCATAGAGTACAGAAGAACCGTAATAACCAATTCTGAACGAAATAAAAATCCAGCGCTTGAGGTTGCAACGCGATTTGCGTCATTTTGACGAATTTTAAATCGAAAGCTGGCAACACTGCAACTCTAAATTGTCCAAATATGCCTTTTCTTATCGAAAACTCTCAGATTGCACATTTTTCGTGAAATTTTGGAGGAAATCACACCTCGAAACCTTCATTTTATCATCAAATTCGATATTTTTGAGTCCGCAACTTGGCAACGCTGCCGCGGGGGGCAAACAATTTTGTATGGGCATGAAAATTTCAGAAAAGTCACATCTTATACCAGGTTAATACATACTAAAAGTTCAGATCGGTCACGGCAAGGATGAGAGAGAAAAGGTTTAACTTGCCGCCCCGTGCGCAGTGTGCTATCTTACCCTTAAAAAACCGCAAAAATTCGATTATTTTTCAAAAATCTCAAACACTCTACTTCGAAATTGGCAAAAACCCCAT